ACAATGTATGTTGGTGCAAGTCGATCAGTAAAACGCCGCGACCAAAAAGAGACCAAAAAAAGATTTTAAAGTAGAATTGTTCCATATACCTTTTTTATTTTTCATGAAAATACTAATGACAAGCCAAGTGGCTGTTCGCAAACTTATTATTTATAATTTTTGACAGGCACATGCATATCAAGACTACTAGAACAATAATGAATACTTAAAATTAAATTAAAATGAATGAGATTATCCATAAAATCTATTTTACGTATATTTTGAAATGTAGATGAGATACTGACATCTTTTTGGCAGTTCTGCAGCTCTACAGCACTTATGCACCAGTCACCACTGCTTTAAATACACAACGGTTTTAAATCCAATGTTAAATTAATACGCTCTTGTAATAAAGATGCTGAAATGAACTATCTGAAAATGTTTGGAATTCGAAATGCATTGAAATATAATAATGTTTCTTCTGTTAATTTTATTGGCCAATTACTTGATGTTAATGAGAACTTTGGTTTTTGAATCAATTTAATTTTAGATACCACATTTTAGATCTTTTCTTTTGTTAAGAAAAAATATGTAATCGAAGACAATTTTATCAAATGTTAAAGTAATTTTAAAAAGTTGAAAATTATTCTTTAAGTTTCTGCCTAATTTTTTTGTGAGTAATTCCGAATTTGTTTAGTTTATTTCTATTTTTTTGTCCATAAATTTAATAGTAGTTTGTGCAACAAGAATGGATATGGACAGTCCATTCGATTTGTACAGTATATCTTTTCTACGACCCACTATTGAAAATTTAGTAACATTAAAAATTATTTTTGGTTATTAAGCTAAAATAACTAATTTAAAAATAATTTATGACTTTTACTAATTTATAAAATAAAATAAACAAGAAAAAAAAATAATTTACCCTAACCCGGGCTTTTTGCATAAGAGGTAAGTGCTCTGACATCACCACAATCCAGGCGCTTAAACTGTTTTGCTTTAATACTCGTAATTAAATTGATTTTTATATAGTTTCATTATTTATAGACCAGCTAAAATTAAAAATGATATTATTTATCGATTCTACATAATAATAACTCATTTTAATGTATGTTTAATCGCAATAACTAAAAAATATACTGCCCATTAGTTTGACACATTAAAATATGAACTGTCGTTGGTGGTTTTCATTTTTTGCAGTGTTCTCACTATCTAGAATGAATATGAAATATATTCCTTCACCTGAACGCAATAGCATACTTTTTCGTTTTGTAGTCTGTGCGAAAACAAGCTTATATCCATGTGAGTGTAGAAAATAGTAGTTTGTGCAACAGGAGTAGATATGGACAATACACTCGAGTTGTACAGTAAATTTTTTCTACGACCCACTAACGAAACTACAAATTTAAAAATATATTTTAGATTATTGAGACAAAATAACTAATTTTAAAACAACTTATGAATTTTACTAATTTATAAAATAAAATGAACATAAAAAAGATTTAATTAGTCCCCAGCCCAGATTCGATCCAGAGCTTTTCGCGACAAAGGCACATGCTCTCTCCTCATCTTCATTGTCACTTTTTGGATTTTAATTTTAATATAGTTTATTTAAAATTTATTTTTGTTTAATATGTGGACCAATTAAAAATGCTATTATTTATCGATTCTACACAAAAATAACTAATTTTAATGTATATTTAATCTCTATAACTAAATAATATACTGACAATTTAGTTTGACAGAATTGTCACTTATATAAAATTTTAAAAATAATAGTAGTTGGGTGTACAAAATACGAACTGTGATTGGTGGATTTAATTTTTTACAGTGTGCAAAACTAATTATTTCTTTGTTTTCTTTTTTAATATGATACAATGGTTCACCCATATTGCATTAATGTCATATTTACTCGTTTTTAGGCTTTCTTGGACAAAATTGTAAAAAAATTATAACAGGGATTACTATATTACATAACACCCTAATTTAATTCATATTTTCAGGGAGTAATTTTAATCAATATCTTGTTTTCCTCAAATTTTATTTACATTTTTATAAAATTTTCAATTATTTTCATAAAATTTCATTAAATTTTCATCAACTTGATAAATTTTTTATAAAATTTTCATAAATAAAAAATCGCTAAGTCTTAAAGGGTTTTTTTTGCCAAGGGTTTGATTTAAACCAACCCTATTCCTATTGCTATTTACTACCTTCCCTACCCATTATGACATGAATTAAATTTGAGTTAGATCTAATGAAATAATTGCTATGTTGTAATTTTTTTTAATTTTTATTAAAGCCTGAAAAATCGGATCTAATTAAGGAAATAAATCTGGTGATATTGCAGGTCATTCTAAGGTGCTTCTATTTAGTAGAAAATATTTGATCTTAATCATTTAATACCTGTTTTAGATAATGAAGAATTTGTTTTTCTTACTGGAGCCAGACCTATTATTTCGTTTTTTTATTTTTAAATACTTCTGATCAGTAATTTTTCATTTAAAAAGTAAGGATATCGATTAAAAAAAGAACAAAAATTTTAAATGAAGATATATCAAGATTTCTATCTTTAACCTTCTGTTATTACTTTATTTTAGAAAGTTTTTGTGTCCAGTACCTTCATCTTCCGAGGTAGACGCCATATTAACCAATCCGATTTTACAACTAGTAGTAAAATATTTAATGAGTACAACATATAATATTCCTGTAAAGTTATCAAATATAATAAAAAGTGCTTGAAAAATGATTCAAAGAAAAATTTTCCTCACCCATTTATTTTGAATATTCGTCAACGAAAATATAAAAAAATTAAATTTTGCAATTAAATTTCTCCATTACGGTCGATATTAGAGAAATAATGTATAGATACAAAATTATAGAGGATAACATCACAAGCAACTTTTATTGAAATAATTTTATAGAAGACCATAAATAACAAATATATTTTAAATTAGAAAAAATATCCCCTATAAAGTACCCCCAGATGCTCCGCCTATGCTTAAAATTTAATTAGCTCATTGCAGAATGGAGTGAAGCTTTTAAAATTTGGTGTTTTTCTCTTGTTTATCGTGAATACAGACACAAACACACAATAAAATAAATCATGATTCCTATAGGCATTGGCTATAAGAAATTAAAATATACAAAATCAAATTTTGGAAATATGACGTTAGAAATAGGAGTTGGAGTAGACAATTTTTTGCATGCAAAATTAGTAGAAACATAAATTAATTTTAATTTTTTAAAGTATTTATTGATTTTAGTATAGCAAAAAATTAGGTATATTAGACCATTTTTCAAAATACCAAGAAACGCTTATAGAAAACTCTATTTTATTTTAGCACACGTGAAAAACATTTTACGTCAGTCCTACGCGAATCCGATGCTCCCGTTCCAGCTGATGCAGGATTACTGCAACCTGTTACCTTCCCTGCTAAGAGAGCTACCAATAAATTTAACCGAGAGAAAAGAAAATAATGCTGTAAACAATGAAAACCGCCACGAGTGCGACGTGTGCCATAAGACTTACAAGAACAAGCGTCATCTTTATCGACATCAAAAAGGCGAATGTATCGGCGTGGAGCCAAAGTTCAAGTGCGAAGTTTGCTTTAATATGTTTAGAAGGAAGTACCATCTGTCGAGACATATGATCAATAGGCATGGAATCAAAGATGAATTCAAGTCTGAGGCTTTGGAGGCTTTGACTCCAGAAGTGAATCTTAATCTTATGTAGTTTTTATGAAGATATTCATTAATTTCAGTATTTAATATTTGATATTTTTTTATTTAGTCAAAGTCGACGTGCGTCAAATCTGGAAATGTTGTAGGCTATCCTATTCTTCTTTTTCTTTTTTTAGTGCACCTATTGATTTGTGTTATTTTTCTACATTTAAATCTCTTTCAAAAGATACTTTGATTAATAATTTTTAGAGATACAAGTATATTCTGCGTTTACTAAAATCAACTAATTTTTTTTATTCATGCTGAATAAGTGATTTTTAATTTTTTTATATTTCTAATTATAATTTTTTACTTTATAATAAATTGTAAAGTGTGACTCACAAAAATGTTTCTGAAGTAGGCCATTACAATCATGAATTTTTCCAGGGTCTACTTAAAAAATATTTTTTGTGGATCACTCCTTAATATACTTATTGCCAAAATAAGCCATTTTTATGATTGTGTGATATTTCGAGTCACTGTAGTTTTAAGGCGATATTTTGAGATCTCAAAAAATGACTTTTAGTTAATAGGATTTTTTGCACAATAATAATTAGTTTTAATCTTATCCTATACGTATTTATAAGTTATAATTTTATTTTGAATGTAGTTTATTTTTCGACCAAAGACATGTGCCTTTAGAATTTTGCTTCAGATTTTTTATTCTGGTGTTGAATATAAAATTTTCATTGTTCTATAATCTAGTTACATCTGGATAGAATTGTGTACCGTGCACTACTTTTGTGTCAACACTATATACTAGGTTTAAATCTCTTTGCTCCACATCTGACCTTTTTTGAATATATTTTTTTGTTTCAATATAATCCTCCTCTATGTTTATGCATATGTTTATGCAGCTAAATACTTTTCAGCAAAATTATTTAAATTAGATCGAGGCAGAAGCTACGAAGAAGGCAGTGGTCAGTGGCGTAGCAAAAAGATCTATCCCGACATTTTGATTTTGAAGCAGAACAAATTAATAAAAGACTGATTTTAAACCTTGTGGTTAAATATATTAAAATGTTTGGAATAGAAGTGACTCCATTGACGGCATCTGTATGAATACTGCAAAAAAATGATGCTGGCATTCCAAATATTCGTTTTAATACAAATACATTTTAGTGGTGATGTCACTGGATCGCTCTATTTTTAAAAATTTGTAGACTTATTTAAATATATAATTTATGAATTTTCGTCTTTTATTTAAAATCCAAAAATAAGAAACCATATCCTATAAATTCTGAAAATATATTATGAGCATTCTACAAGGACCAATTTTGGGTCCGTCATTATTCATAATGTTTGTTAATGATCTACGTTTAGCAAGTATGGACCTTGATAAATTGGTAAGAATCATTAACCAAGTTTTTCAGATGAAAACGCAAAAGGGATATTTATAAAAAAACGTGGCTGCGAAAAGGACTACATAGGTGATACAAACAAATAATGCCTATCAGACCATAAAAATATATGCGTCCGATGAAAATTCTTTTATAGTTTATTTGAAAATGCATGATAGCACAGTTTTTATGGTAAATATCGATATACAGGATTGTTCAAAGCAGAAAAAGGTAAATATTGATACCTTCTTATCTGGATTTTCACTAGATTTTAGTATGACCTCCTAAAAAATCTCGAAAACAATATATCATAAAATGTAAATGAGCAAACTCTAAGGGATTAACTTTAATATAAAAAATAGTAAACTGTCAATATTAAGTACCCACAGTTATTTTTATAAAAATAGTAAACTAGAACATTTCCTTAAAATTTATTAATAAATATACACACAACCAAATTTATATGATATAGTAAAAAAAATCTTTGTAAAAAAATCTGTTTTCATAAAATACTCATATTTCGTTTTTAGAAACACCATTCCATATAAATTTGTTTCTTTGTATTTCGGGTACTAGCGTCATATAAACTTATTATAATTAATATAAATGTAGAGTTACATACTTAAATACATAAGTCGGTTTTCTCCCGATAAGGAATCTTCATCATCAGTTTCCCCACTTTTTATAGCGTTTTGCCAATTGTCCGGTGAAATTTTCGATATAATAATAATAATACTATAATAATAATAATAATCTTTATTAAGTATTATGGTGTACATACATATAGGGATAATCTGGCTTTGTTGATGGTTTTATCCAATTGGGCGTTCCAGGTGAGTTTCTTATCTAGGGTGATTACCAGATATTTCACCTCCTCGGTAAAAGGAGTAGTTTCCCCAGCCAAGGTAGGTTGTCGAAGCTTGTCGAGCTTTCTTCTCTTGGTGAAGGAGACAATAACAGTTTTGCGGGGGTTAACAGACATCTGCTCCCTCTCGTACCATCTGTTGATCGTATTAAGGGCTTTTTGAAGGATGTTAAAGATCACCTCTTCGAACTTTCCTCTAAGTATGATAACCAGATCGCCCGCATATCATTGGAAATCCACCTCCTGTCGGGAGAGATCGTCTAGTAGGTTATCCACCAGAATAGTCCATAGTAGGGGTGAAAGTACGCCGCCTTGTGGACATCCTCTGGCAGGTCTGAAAGTGACAGTCTCTCCCTGCAGTAATGTTTCGGTTTGCCTGCATGCTTTTGATCCAATTACAAGTAAGTTTGTCGATTCCTCTTCTTTCAATAGAAGCGAACAAAGACTGAGGAAGGGCGTTGTTGAACGCGCCTTCTATATCTAGGAAGGCACCTAGCGCAATCTCCCCGTGATTTAGGGAATGGCCGATTTTGCCTACTAGATTGTGCAGGGCATGATCTGTCGATTTGCTTGCTTGATAGGCATATTGAGAGGAGTTTAACGGGTTTGCCCGAATACCTCCTTCTCTAATATGCCTATCTAGTGTTTTTAGAAGAAAGGATGTTAGGCAGATTGGACGATAAGAGTTTGGTAGGGAGGTATCTACTCTACCAGCCTTGTGTATATACACGACTTTCGCCAACGTCCATCCTAGTGGGATATAGCTCCACGCCAGGCGTGCTCTAAACAACCTCACAAGGAGGGGTAGCAGGAGTTCCTGTCCTTTTTGTAAAAGGACGGGAAAAATGCCAGGTGATTTGAAGGGGGAGAATGAATTCATCGCCCATTTCACGGCGTTTGGAGAGACAATTTGTGCAATCAGTCCTCCTTTTTGGGTCGTATAATCGATTCCGTTAAAGGAAGGGGTACATGTTGCCTGTCCTCCAGGATTCAACTGCCTGGGAAGTGTTTCTGTAAAGGAATCTTTAAAGTTTCCTTACCAGAGTCCATATAGGTGTTGTCGGGTCTTTTTATCGAGCCGACTTCCTGTCTCGGATCTTTGGCGAGAATCTTGTGGTCTGGTACTTGCAGGTAAATCTGATATACTCTGACAGAACTTCCTCCACGATTCTCGTTTGGCCTTTCTGATAGCCTTGTTGTATTTTTCCCAGCAGCCAAATTCTTTAGCTTGATTGAAGAGATGTCGAGCTTCTTTTCTTTTTTGTCCTGATAGGCAGTAATAAGGGCATTTTGAATATGATCATTCGCCACTTCAATCTCTGCGCTATTCTTAATAGTTTTAATTACGTTTCCAAGCACCTCCTGGAGGGACTTTTCGTATCCACGCCAGTTTGTGCTGTTAGGGTCACGGAATTGGATAGTAGGTATCCGATCCGTCCTCATGTCAAATCTGATGTGTCTGTGATCTGAACATGAGGGTCCGTCTAGAACTTCCGCACAATTTTTCGTCACGAAAGTTGGTTCCGAACCTACGTTGTTAACAATAAGCCCTTCACCGATTATATAATTATAAAGTTGCTCACCTCGTGTATTAATGTCGGTACTTCCCCAGTCCCTGTGGTGGGCGTTAGCGTTGCACCCAATTCCTCTTGCAATAGGCAACTAGTTCTCGCACTATCGCTGGAGGAGGGGGTTGGTCTTCCTCTATGAGCGCAGATTTTCTATCGTTCTTCTCCCAAACAAAGTGTAATTTATGTAAAGTTTTCCACAATTTGTCTCTTTTAACGTTTGGAAAAGTTTCGTCTCCATTAATGTATACTAAAAGTGTATCCAAAGTAGTATAGTAAATAAAACGAATGCACTTTTCTTCGGATCAGTTGTTTCATAGTACCGTCTATTTAAATGGGTTTTCTCCAAGTTGACGTTTTAGGGGCTACTGTAATATTTTAATTCTTTCGTTGCTTCAGAAGTCTATAAATGGTTGCTTCTCCAACTCCGGTCATATTTGAACACTTAGAAACTATATTCCTAACAGTACTATTGAAATGTTCATGTACAAAAGCGTCATGTAAATTTAACACCAAAGTTTTCATATACACGGTTAAATTGCACTTTAATTTTACATGAGTATAATTAGACGATTGTGTCATTTTTATTGCACAAATTCACTGGATTAATATCGCTTTTTATCGCCAATTATTACAGAACTAACAATTCTGCGTTTGACAAACAGAAATGTAAATCTTAACTAAAATAATTTTCAATCTGCATAACACTGTCTGCCGATTAGAAATTTTAATCCTTTCTAAGAAAGTTAAATGCTTCTTAAATTGATGTTGAATTGTAAATGTTTTCTACCTGTAGACATTACATACTTATTTTTGTTGATTAAAATGACTAGAAAATTTAAGACGAGAATTTAAATAAATTGTTATTTTTAAAAATTTGAGGAAGAAAACCAAGGATTTTATTTTGGAACAAATAATGCTAAATATTTTATTTTTATTGGAATTTATCTGCTGGATCATAAAAATTGTGCTATCATTACTTTTCAAATAAACTATAGACCAATTGGGGCCACTATCTCTTAAGAATTAAGACGTACTAAACTTTCTTCATTTCCTTACGCTGCGATAAAAACTATCCATTGAACTCAATATTAACCACATTCATTTTTAGCTTGGAACTTATTTTCGATTCAAAGATACACCTGCGATCAATGTGGACGATCATACAAACACAAAACCAATCTGTGCAACCATAAAAGAGAAGAATGCGGCAAACCGCCGTCGTATTTTTGCCCGATTTGCAAGAAGGGCTTCAAGAAAAAGCAGCATTTGCAGCGCCATCTTGTAGTGCACAACGAACTGGATCTGACGGGCCAAAATGTCGATCCGGAAATCATGAGGCAAATTATACCTTTCGTCTCTAAACCGGAACCGAGATTTGAGCCTACTCCTAGTTTATCGTTGTTGCCCAGTAAAAATACTAGCAACGCTCTGTTGCATAGCACCGTGCCCCAGAATTATCCTCCGTTACCATCGCTATCCGTTTTTTCTAGAGAGAATATGGTGAATTTTCCTCCTATGATGCATTACCACAATGTCCCTATGCCTCATATTCCGCAAGTGCAGTACGGTACTGGTGACGGTAGATGTCTTCCTTCTAGCGAAGCTTCGCATTCTTTTGGACTCGAAGCTAAGTTAGAAAATACTGAAACTTAAGTAAAATTTATAAAATAAAGAATGGGACTACAACCTGATTGACTTAGGTCATAGGAGAATCTGCCTTTCCTTGTTCTTCTGTTTCAAATGCATTTAATGGATTTTGTGTGGGATAGCTAGTAAATTTCTTTCAGATCTTCGACGTTTTAGAGTTTTATCTTTGTTTAGCAATGAATAACGTTGACTTTTAAGATGCGTCAACAATTCTAAGAAAACTTTGTTATTGAATCTAAAATTTAGCTCATTGTATCTGTTGGTAATAAATGTATCCCTTCTGGCAAAGCAACGCATTCTTTTGAACTCGAAGCTTAGTTATAAAATAATAAAACTTAAGTAAAACTCGATATACAGTTAGAATCTGTGAAAGTTAGGAATGGAACAACAACCTGTCTTTTCTACGGTTTCAAATGTATTCAATGGATTGCTAGTAAACTTTCTTCATATCATCGACGTTTCCAAGTTTCACAATACATAACGTTGATTTATCGTCTTTATAAAACTTTATTTTTGACATCTAGATCCACGAAATATATTTTTTGTATTTATTATTGATCCCATATTTTAAAATTCTCGAGTTTCTTTATGGATGTTTCTAGGAAGTGTCAAACATTCTAAGAAGATTGTGAATACACATATGGATGGCTAAGAGTAAATTTTACAGTAGAGACAAAAAACTCCTAGAAACTCAACTAGAAATAATTTTTTTTTGGACTTTAGTGGCCGATAGTGTCCATCTTTTTCTATTGAGTAAACGTAAAAACGTTAATTCGTAAAAATTGTGGGTTACGACTTGTTAGAATTAAGCCATTGATATCTGAGTTCTTGGTTCTAAAAGTAAGTACATTTTATCTAGTGATGCTAGATGCATTCCTTCTGGCAAAGCTTCGTATTCTTTTGTACTTGAAACTAAGTGAGAAAATACAAATTCTTAAAACATACGGAATATAAAGTTAAGATCTGAGAAAGTTAGGAATACAACTGCAGCTTGATTGTCTTACGTCATTCGAAATACTGCCTTATCACACCTCTTTGCTTCTTTCTCCTGTTTCAAATGCATTGTGTGTGGTATTGCTAGTAAATTTCTTTCATACCATCGAAGTTTTATCTTTGTTAAATAATACATATCGTCAGTTTATCGTCTTGCATCCTCTATACATTCCCTATATGTTAAAGGTCTCCAGGTTCCATCTTGGATGTTTCTAGGTTAGGTTAGGTTGAAAATGAGTGGGATGATCTCATCCCTTCCACTACGACCTAGATGGGCCTATTGTGGCTCATGACTAACTTATAGCACACCGTACAAGCCACACCTTTTGATAAAGGTCATAGTTGAATTGGGTGAGACTTGTTGAAAGTCGGTAGGCTCCAGTCGGATAAATCCGAAGATCTGAAACCTGGTTCTTTCCAGAGTGGAGCAGGTACATAAAATGTGCTCTGCAGGCTCGTCCTCCACGCTGCAGAATCGACAGTCCTATGTTTGTTTCAGACCTATCCGTCTCATGTGGTTGCCCAGACGACAGTGTCCTGTCATCAGTCCAGTGAAAATGCGTAGATCTTTCCTACTCCATTCTCGGATCAGAGCAGAGGCCTTCATAGAAGGGTTGGTTATAAACGCCTTCGAATTGGTTAACCCTGGGGTATCTATCCAGTTCGTGGGTGTTGCACCTTCCGTCCATTTTGAGATAATTCCTTTGGCAGCGCTTCTTGCAATGCCCAGGAATGGTTCTGGTCCTATGAACACAGATTCGGTTCCTCTTTTAGCAAGTGCGTCGGCTTTTACGTTGCCCTCCACACCACTGTGTCCCGGAACCCAGATCAAAGTAACTTTGTTTCGGGCACCAAAGCATTCTAGGGTATTTATTCTGTTCCAAACCAGCTTTGAGTTAACTCGATTGGAGCCTTAAGGGCTGCCTGGCTATCTGAAAAGTTCTTTATAGTCTTGTTTGCGGGGAGAAAATTAATCATCTCTCTTGCTCCCAATTCTATAGCAATCATTTCTGCTTGGAAGATCGTGGCCAGAGAGCCTAGGTTTATTGATATGTCAACTCTAGGATTCTGGCCGAAAACTCCCGCTCCTACTCCTTTTTCAGTTTTGAAGCCGTCCGTTTACACCGCATAGTCTGCATGGGAAAGGGGTTTTTCCCCTCTGCTCCATACGTCTCTCTCTGGAATAAGAACGCTGTATGGCTTTTCTATGTGCTGTCAGGGAACTAGCGAGTCCGAGACCATGCCGAGGATGAGGTGGTTATTAATTTTTATTCAATTGGGGGTTCTAGGTGAGTTTCTTATCTAGGGTGATTCCCACATATTTCACCACCTCCGAAAAAGGGATGGTTTCCCCAGCCAAGGTAGGTTGTCGAAGCTTGTCGAGCTTTTTTCTCTTGGTGAAGGGGACAATAACAGTTTTGCGGGGGTTAACAGACATTTGCTCCCTCTCGTACCATCTGTTGATCGTATTAAGGGCTTGTTTAAGGATGTTGGAGATCATCTCTTCATGGATGCTTCTAAGAAACGTCAAAGATTCTAAGAAAATTTATGAACATCTTACATCTGGATATAATAAAACTAAGTACATTTTATCTGTTGGTGATAGATGTATTCCATCTGGTAAAGAATTTTATTCTTTTAGATTTGAAGCTAATTTAAAAAATACTGAAACACGATAGATCTGCGAAGTTCAGAATGGGACTGTAATCTCATTATCTTAGGTCATAGAAGATAAACTGCCTTTTCACAGATCTTTACTTTTTTCTTCTGTTTCAAAAGCATTTAAAAGATTGTGTGTGGAATTTCTAGTAATCTTTTTTCATGATCGTCGTTTCCAAGTTTTATCTTTGTTTAGCAGTACATACGTTGATTTATCGTCTTCTATCTCTTATACATTCCTCATATTTTAAAGGTCCATCAGTTTCATCATGGTTAGATATTTCTAAGATGCGTCGAAAATTCTAAGATATAACATCTGGGTTTTTGGATCTTAAATTAAACACATTTTATTTTTGATCAGTTTTACTTCTACAGGTATATCAAATACTCTCAATATTAGCTCTTTCCAAAGGTTGTTGGTTACTCAGTAATTGACTTGTTAGTACCTGGTACTTATATAACGTAATTTTGTTGTTAGGTGGTAAACAAAAGACCACGCAATCGCAGACGAAAACAGGTGTAGTCCCACTTTTAAAATATTGTTCCTAGTTTATGATGAAATAAAATGTGTTCTTTTCTATAAATATGATAACTTGAAACTAATTCAGAATAATCTCCTACTTAATAGATTTTTAATTATAGTTACTCCTATATAAGAATTTGAATAAGGATAATTTCCTGACCGTAGCAGAATTTTATATAAATAAAAATTTCATAGGTTTATTCTTTCATGTTTTTATTTTAGCACAGCACTACATTTGTTTCGGAAATATGTTTTTCCATCTTCGGGTGCAGTCAAAATTTAATTATGAAATTTTTATTTATATAAAATATATAAGAATTGTGTCAATCCAAGATGTAATTTTTGTTAAGATGCTACTATTAAATGTTTTAATTGAAAAGCAATTAATTAAAAAGCAATAATTCTGTCAACTTTTTAATATTATTTGATAGGCAGTTACCGGTGATCTCACGAAATTGTACTAGTGCTTATTATATTCATAAAGATTCTTTTATTTATCTACTTGGGACAGATCGGCAAATATTCTTGGGACAGGAATTATTTAAACGTACGTCACAAGATATTATGAAACATCTATGTAGCATAATTGAAAGATCAAACGAACTTACCTAAGTGAAAATCGATCTCAATTATATGAAACGCCTTTTTCGAGATGATCTTGGGTAGGTAGGTCTAAAACTTACAATTTTATTCCTGGTATATTTTTCATAAGTCTGTTCGATTATCTTCCTCCAACCCTTTTTAATTAACTAGTCCCATCGTATGGCTAGATTCTTATGAATATCATGTAAATATTCCTTTGAACATGTCAATAAATTCGTCCCCACTGTTATTCTCTTATAAGATTGTCCAATCAAAAATTTGTGTATAATTTATATGATAACAGTAGTTTGTTAAATTTTTTAATACATCAATAAGTATGTGATTCAACCCACATACTTTGATTACTATACGGGGCAAGAGAGAGGTCCGACATGCCCAACATAGGGCGCGGCCATTTTGAACCCTATGACACAGTTTATAGCTAAAGAATCAGATCGCTCACTCTGCGACGGCACTTTTTATCTCAATGTTCCAGTTTATATACTGCGCAACTCAGATAATACAATATATGACAACCGCCTATAATAAAACAGCAGTCTTCTGCGTATCCTGAATTTGTATCCCTGGAGTGGATGTTATTTTGGTACTTTCAACTGGTCCGAGTGAGCTAACTGATTCTTTAGCAATAAACTGTGACTCCAAAAATAATATTCGCTGACACCACATACTTTGATTGTGACTGACACTGACAGCATTGATGCTGTCAGTGTCAGTCTTGAGCAAAATATCAGGTGCGTTTTAATCATCCGCTTCTGCTTCCGGAATTGTCGGTTCAGTCGTTCTAACCTGTCAGATTAAAACAAGAAAACCGACAATTCCGAAGCAGAAGCGGATGATTAAAACGCACCTATTAAAAATATTGCGCCAAGATGTAGGCAACACGTAATAAGGGTTCAAAATGGCGGAGTTTTCTATCTCTTTTTAAAAGGCACTCAGAAAGCTGCGCAGTGCGACCATTCTCCGTACTCGCTCCGTGCGAAGTCATGGAAAGGGAAGCAAAAGCGATACTAGCGCTAGTTGCGGATAATTCGTGCATTTTAGAGGGATATTTTGTAATTTTGGCATATCAAATACACGTATACATTTTACTTTTTTTCAAAAAAGTAGGTAAAAACAACACAATAAGCAACCGGAGTTGCTGTGTTGAAAATTGTACAAATACTAGCAAAAAAACAGTGAAACTTATATAACAAATTTCACTAACAAAGTGGAAATTAAATCAAAGAAA